ACCAAATATTGACTGCCTACACTCCGACCAAGTCCACCCAGTGATGTTAAGAGAAAAAACAACAACAAAAGCCTGACCACCTGCTTCTGTAAGATGACGGCCAAGGAACAACTATAGAGCAATGCTACCCTGTAACACCCGAGATCCCCTTAGTTAAAAGTATTCTTTAAAAACCTTTGGGCCCTAACAAATGAATTAATTATATGCTAATAAGTACAGATTTGGTAGCAAGTTACGTGGGTACACAATTATTCTCATATCTAGTCTCTTCTTTTGGATGTATTTGAAGAATTCATGTAACCTATTTGAACCAATAGGCCATTCTATCAGCTTCTCCCGAATCGTCAAACTTTGGCCATGTAGGTCCTGGGAAACGAGCTCTCCTACTTTCACGTGAAGTTCAAAACCTTCAGGAAGTTCCGAATAATTTAAAATCTCATATTGTGACTTCTCATGTCTGTTTTCATCCAGCGAGACACGTTCTCCTGAGATGTTTTCCAGCTGCGTGTGTTTTAGGAAATGGTGGAGCTGGAGGAAAAGCATGTTTATGAAATGAGAGGAGCAAGGACATTGGAGGCAGAATACTCAGACAGATTTTCTCCCCCTTTCTTCTTCCCCTGTTACTCAATACGGTCCCTATTCTGATTGTCCATAGAATGGAATGTCCCAACATAACCCAAAAAGAAAAAAAAAAAACAACAATGAAAAATTCTCAGCCATCCATCAATTCTGAGGCACGATAACCTAAAGTATTACAGGTCTGAAGTGCTCCATTCGAGTTTCTCCTCCGTTGCCTGTGAGTGTTTCATACTGGGTGGCTTTTTTGTTGCTGTGATGCTGGAAGCTATGTCACCAGTGTTGCAAATACCAGCAGGGTCACCAAAGTAACAGGTTTCCACAGCAGCTAAGAGATCAAACGTATTGCTTTGGGACAATACGCTGCACAGGACTTCTTTAAAGTGTTGAAAAGCCAACATTTGAAGACGAAGGTGAGCCTTATCCAAGTGACAATATTCTGAATCCTTTCATAATAATGTGAAAGTTAGGCATTAAATTAAAAAAGCCAAAGAAGAATCCATGCATTTAAATTATGGTACTGGCAAAGAATATTGACAAGAATATAAATTGGCAAAAGAGCAAACAGATTTGACTCTGAAGAAATGCAGCTGGAAGGCTCCTGAGAGCCAAGGATCCTGAGATTTCATCTCACTTACTTTGGACTTGCCGTCAGAGGAGACCAGTCCCTAGAGAAGGACGTCATGGCTAGTGAAGGAGCGGGGCAGTGAAAGAGAGGAAGACCTTGAACGAGATGAACTGACACAGGAGCGGCACCGATGGGCTCACACATAAGAACTGTTGTTGGCATGGAACAGCACTGGGTACTGTTTCATTCTGTTCTACATAGGATTGCTCTGAGTTAGCAACAACTCAATAGCAGCTACCAACAACAATGGGACTTCCTTGACTGTCAATACCTGACTGTTTTTTATGGTGTCGCTATTGGATTTTGAACGACTACACTTTAGGCTGGTAGCTAGAACAAACCCACTCATTTCTGCCTCCTGTGCCCCTGAAGTAATTATTTCAAACTATCCATAAAATATACTTTATGATGACTATTTTAGAAATGATCACGATATGAAACCCTGACCACTGGTTTTCTTTAGGGCTCTTGGAGAGATTCCTCAAATGCAAAGAAGGATCCTTTGTCCAAAATCGGTTGACTATAGATGTAAGCGTTTATTTCTGGCGTTTCTATTCTATTCCATTGAGTCTACATGTGTATTATTCAGCTAGTCCCTCTCCTCTCTTCTGAAAAACAAGGACAAAATGGAAACCAAACGCACTACCCTCAAGTCAATGCAGACTCTTAGAAACCCTATGCAGTGTCTGATGTCTACATCTTTATGGTCATGTGTCCCTTGATTATTCTACTATATTTGGACCACTAATATTTCTACTACTGCAGTTTGTTAGCATGTTTTGAAATGTTAGGTATGTTTAAAATGGTATGTTTTAGTATCTTTTGAAATGTGAATCCTACCTTATTCTTCAAGATTAATTTAGCTATTAAAGGTCTGGTCCTAATTTTAAACTCATTAAAATAACATTCTGGTGGTAACAAGCCATTAATGTAAATCAAATGTAAGAAGATGCTTTACCAGCCACACAGGGAATCTGGCATCTCTCCGGGACCTTGTTTCTTCTCCTCTCATAAGAATCATTTCATGGAGGGCTTGGGCCACCAGGTATACAGTGTTGTAGAGATACTCGATGGATTTCATCCTTGTCCATGTCCATAATAGCCTTGGGAAGAGAAGCTTAGGAGGCATTGGGTGGACACTCATCATTTTGCCCACAGAGAGCTCCTGAAAAGGAGCAATGGAAAATGTCGCGCCATAATTTGCCTAGGAAGAAATCTTCGGGGTACTTGGAAGGATTCACTGTTCTTAAAAAGTTCTTAAAACCAGGTATCTCTGAACCCTGGTGTATAAAGACAAGGGACCCACGGAAAGTATTAAAGAATTGGGTAAGTGGTAAGCCAATCTCGTCCCTTTGGGATGTAGTGATCCACAGCTTGTGGGTTGTTAAGTGATGGTCTCCCGCAAATACAGGGTCTTTCACGTACTTGTATCACCATAAACAATGACCACAGTTGCAGATGAGTCAAATATTCTGAGAAGGAAGAACCAATCTTCTGGCTTGTTCAGGTCCTTTGTCACAGAAATCTTTTCCACAAGTGCTATGCAGACATCTTTGATGGATATTTCTCTTCTGAAGTCCCAAAGAAATGGCTCACCTTTTGCATCATCTGGCCCTAAAATACTGACCCAAGTCCATTGAAAATGGACCAATAAGGAGACTATCCCGGAAGCCAGACAAGCGTGGCTGGGGGCCATCTGATAGAGGGCAGAAAACTTGTTCTTGTTTCTCAACAAAGGATCAAAAGAGCCATAGAATATCTAAATCAAGAGAGAGAGATGTTCCATATGGGCTGTGGTAAGCAGAGTTAACAAGAGAATTACAAAAAAACACGAGAGTGCCCCCAAAGGTGCAGAGCCCACCTGCACTCAACAGGGGTTTCAGAGTGGAGACCTTTGGGGAGCAGTTTGCCAGGGATTGCATCTGCTCAGGGGCTGTGGTGGGGCGTCTTTGAGTTGATGCTGATTCCCAGTGACCCACTAGGACAGAGTAAAACCTCCCTGGGGGTTCGCAAGGCTGACTGTTGACAG